CAGTTCCCCAGCCAGCCCTGCGATCTCCCTCAGCCAGCCTCACTGCCCCCACCAGCCAGTTCCTCCCCCGCGATATCCCCTGGCCAGCCCCACTGCTCCTGCTCCCCCCAGCCAGCCCTGTTTCTGCCAGCCAGTTCCACTGCCCTGGCTAGCCCTGCTTCCGCCGGCCAGTTCCCCTCCCTAGCTCCCCCGGCCACCTCCACTGCCCCGACCCTGCTTCCCTGCAGCCCATATCCAACCCCTCCTCCCGCCTCCACAGCCAGCAATAAGAGCTCACCTGGTAACCCTCACTATGCCTCTGCCGGGAGCCTGAAACATACGGCTGCATCTGCCCAGCCTGGCTGAGGGCTTGGGGAACCCAGCGCTGCACGGACAGTCCGGGAGCCCGGTACACGTTGGCAGCCACGCTGAGGCCCGGTATTTTTTTCCTGCGGCCCGGTACCGGTACCGGGCCACAGCCCATAGTTTGGGAAACGCTGTTCTAAACAAAGCATGCTTAACCTGTGGAACTCATTGCTATGAGATATCTTTGAAACCAAAGCTTGGTAGAGTTCAAAAAACCAGTAAGTGTTTATGTGGGCAGTGAGAAGGTTTGCAGTAATAGTAGATCTGATAAAAATGTCATAAACCTTAATGATTCAGAGCATAAGCCAACCACTAGTGACAGGTGTTAAGAAGAAAATGCTCCCTGGCCAGTTATTCTGCTATGAGGTTTCTTTTACCTTCCTCTGAAGCAGCTGATTCTTATTATTGTTGGAAGCAGAACATTGAACAAGCTGGAACACTGGTCTGATCTCATATGGCAGTTTTTATGATCCTAGAACATAAAGCAGAGAAAGCTAAATAATGCAAAGTCATTTACAATTAATTGACTATTGTTCCAAAATGCCTTAGCATGGCCAATTCCTAAATCTAACAAGTGTAACTGTATTTGATATAGCTCTCTGAAGTTAAAACTGGCTGTTCTTACTAACTACTTCCTAAAATCCTTCCAGCAAAGGATAATTTCCAGGCTCCATCAGGAACATGAAGCTAGTCGCAAGTAATTGATGTAACTCTTCAGGGCTTTAAAATGAAATATACGGGGAAATGTGCTTCGAAAGCAGACATCTCCTTGTTTGCTCATTTCTCTTGGATACCCTGAGATGAACGTATTCTATAAGAAGTCTTGAAAGTCTCTCACTGGGACTGCCCTCTGACTGCAAATCTTAATTCAAGCCTCTCCCGTGTTCGCATAAACTGAGTGCTGCTTGCCTATATCTGAAGCACTGGAGGCTACTGGAATGGACAGTCTTCAAGCACTATTGACACATCTTGCCGAATTGTCCAAACTTTCCTACTTTATACCTCACCAGCACCACTAGCATTGCTGACTGCTGGCATGGCTGGAACCTAGCATGAATATCGAGCTCTCTTGTCTGGTATCTGAACACTGTGAAGTACTGCTCATGGGGCTCCTCAGTTTCACTTGGCTGTGCAAGTGCCAGGATTGCCGCTAGGGATGTGAATGGTTAATTGGTAATTCTCACTCTTAATGGGTGAGGCTTACCGGTTCTGGCTAACAGGTGGGGACTGGAGCAGCTCCCTGCCCGCCTTGGGTGGGGGCTGCTCCAGTCCCACAGAGCCTGCTGCAGACAGGGGCATTCCAGCTGGCTGGAGCAGTCCCTGTCCGCAGTGGGCCTCCAGCATGGCCTGAGCAGCCCCCTGCCCAGAGCAGGTGGGGAACTGCTCAAGCCCACACCGGTTAACCTTACCCGGTAAACCTCACTTGTAAGGTGAGGCAAGGGGGGGTCCCTCTGCCCACTCCCCCTTTAATCAGTTAACTGTTTAAACATTTAACCAGTTAACCAATTAAATGAGATTTTATATCTCTAATTACCATTTCCTGCCAAAGTGGCCCATATTCAGGGATTTCAGTCAGCAGAGCAATATCTCATGGTCAGCAGGAGTGCTGCTTTCTCTTAGATGTTCAGTTGCTACCAGACTGAGTTAGGAACTAATACCATTTTAAGTGTCATGTCAACTTTCCTCTTTCAAATGAGTCGGGTTGTAGGCTTCCAGGAGGAGCTCTCTGGAAACAGAGTGCCATGGTGGGTGTGTGTGCGGATGCTAGAGTCTGCTGATGGGAGTGTAACAGTTTGGTAACTAGACTCAAGCAATTCACAATGGGTTTTTTTTAGGTTTGTAAGTTTAAAAAGTAAGCATATGTGTGTGCGCTCGTGTGCAGACAGCTACATTTGAATGCAAAACTGCCAGATATTTCTGAGACAGCCTCCATCTATCTGAACCAACTTCTTTGCCTCTGCCTAAAAATCTAGAATGAGCCTTTGCTTTCTGAGTGCCCCTTGGTTGTCTTTGTGTGCGTAGAAAGTTCTGTCTCTGTCTGGGAGCTAATGTGCAACTCCAAACTGCTGATGGTTTCCTTTTTCTGCATATAAAAGTAACTTTCCATAAACCACTCTTCTTCTGGTTAACACCTCATTTCCCAGCAGTCCACTTGGGGCGGGGGGCCTCTGCGTTGCCGAGTCCAAAATGCTTTTGGGTGCCAAATTCTGGTAAATAAATACATAATATATTCTAGAGTAAAGTAAGAACTTTATGGCATTGGCTTTATTTTTTTCAATAATCTCACTAGGGTTGCTAATCAACCGATTTATTGAATTCATTAGTATATTAATGGCTATTGCTTTCTTCCTTTCAAATGCTGCCCCTCAGCCCGCCTGGCATGTTTGATTATGACTTTGAGTAAGTTTGACTTGACTTAGTACTTGTGCTGTCTTGTTAGTGTGTAGACACCAATGTGCCTTTCTGAGACCTTTCTAACCCATAGTTTATCTGTTTAATTGTAGGTATGTATATTAGGTTAGGCTGGGAAGTTTTTTTTAAAAACAGAAAAACATGATGGAGGTAACATTTTATTTAATAACTTCAGCAAAATTAAATTAACTTTACTCTTCTGCTTCTTTATTTCATTTTTAAGTAGATAAACTTTATCTTAATAAATAGTTAAAAACTGATTTTCTGGCTTTGCTTCCTAAAGAGATTAGTGATGTAAATTTGGATATTTCCCTCTGGAGAAATGTAATAAAGCCAATTCCCTTGATTTTATAATAACTGTTGTCTCAAAATTCTCTCTCTCTCTCTCTCTCTCTCTCTCTCTTTATATATGTATGTGTGTGTGTGTGTATATATATATATACACACACATACATACATATTTCAAGTAAGTAACTATTACCACTATATCTGAATAATTACCTGTGGCATAGGTACATCTGTCTCTAACAAATTAACATAGAGCATGCATTTTAATTCTATTTTTGCACGCTGCATAACTTCCCTGTGATTTTATTATGAACCTTTGATAACTGAGTGGGTGGAATATGCATTTCGGCAAGGTGTAAAGAGTCCGCTCTCATAGATGTTGTTGGTCCTTGCCCAGTAATGTTGGGACAATGATTCGGCTCCGCCGATTCGGAGAACATGGATTGAATTAACCAAATAGCCTTTGTTGTAGCTTGTGCCATAAGCTGTAGCTGGTTCTTGGAACTCCCACTGAAATTTACTGTTTTGAAATGGACATTTCTCTTCTCTTTCCCATCGCAGGATTGATCTCAAGTTAAACAAAAAGCCGCGAGCTGTAAGTATCAGTCCTCCAATGTCATTGTTTTTATGCCAGTCTGTACTCTGGGGTTGCAGGCTAATCCCCTAGCATCTACGTGAGCCATGGTTTTATGCTCTCTCATTTTTATGGCGAGGGAATAGTTGGTGTGACATGAGCAACTGCCTTGTGGATTTGTCATAGCTGGGTTTGTTGCTTGTTACCAGATGTTAGTGATAATTGAGAGCCCCATATATTTTACTCAAGAAAAATTGCTTCACACCCTTTCTAGCTGTGATTGTTAATCTAGAAAATTGAAAACTATCAGTGACTGGTTAAAACATCTTTGAGTTGAAGATTTTGAAGTGCAGATGAGGGTATCCGGTTACAATAAAATTTTCTCTTCTCTGCCTGGCTGCAGAGAATAATGTTGAGTGTTTCATGTGGCTGTGTATGAAAGCTGAGCTTCCCAGCTCTGAGAGGAAAGTTGTATTTTTGGGGATATTAATGTCCTGCCCTTTCCCCTCTCTGCAGGACTACTAGACTCATCGGTGCCGAAGCTTCCAGGATCTAGGCCCCCACATTGAGTCCACACTAAGAAAAACATCAATCAACTGAATGAGCACAATGGGCAGCTCTCCCACCGAGTGTCTGCACGTAGGAGTAGTTCACTCAAAAGTACTAACGTGTGTGTGGGGGGGAGGGGGGATAATAGTCTTCTTTGGCTACATTGGACCATATCCTTTGTGTCATTTTAAAATCACTTGAAAGGCAGGACGACTAAGCTGTGGTGTCATCAGTCCCTAGTTCCCAAGCGCAAACTTCTTCCCCACAGCTGGCAACACTCATCCTGCAATTGGCTGGTTTTGCTGCTGCCATCACCATTGTCTGTAATAACCATTGAGAGATGTTGTTGTTTCATTTTATACCGGAACGGGGGCGTGGCTCAGTGTGTCCCATGCAGGTTGTAAATTTGTTAGGTTATTTTTTTAATACTGTTATTTAGTTTGTTTGTGGTTTTTTTTTAACCAAACTGTACAGCTGACAAATTTTTCCTTTTTAAATCTGATTAAGCTGTTCATTTTGCAGAACTACCCACTTGGATTCTTACCTTAGTAGAGAAGAAAGTGGATCCCCCCTTTCTGTTATCTTTTATTTTAAAACTCCCCCTCCGCTTTGTCCGGGGCACTGAAATACAGAGAGTGGGTGGAGCTCAAAGCTGTCTTGCTCTTGAAGGTTGGGAGGGTTCTCTTTTTAATACAAACATCTGTCATTTGTATATAAGACAATAAAAGTCACACGTGTCTCTCTTCTCACGTCTTGCTTTTCAGTTGGAGACATTTCTATTTCTTGTTCTGTTTCTTCTAAGCTACCCAAGATGCAGCCTGGTGGGGGGGAGCAGCCTGAAGAGGGGGGCTGGAAAGGTGACCTGGCAGGGGGCGGCACTGCCGGGAGGGCCATGAGCCGCGTGGCACATAGGCAGGGGGGGGCCCCAGGCAGGCG